CCTCATGGACAACCTTTGGCGCACGTGTGCGGAACACCTGACCACGCGGCAGTGGACGACGCCGCGTATGCCTCTACTTTCCTCCATTAAAATAGCTCCGAGCGTCTGTGTGTGTTCGCGCGCGCGCGCGTGTGTGTGTGTGTGTGTGTGTGTGTGTGTGTGTGTGTGTGTCGCACACTACCCGTTTGCTACGGACTTCTTAATGTGCGAAGATGGCTCCCTCCGGCCTTGCCACGCGCGCCGCCGCGGACGTGCCAATGCACTGATGCTGGTGATGGCGGCGATTACCGCCACCCTTTGACACGCGGACACGTGGTGCCTTCAACGCCCACGTGCGAAGAAGGCACCGCACAGTGGGCCAGAAGACCAGTGGAGGCGGCCAAAACTCTAGACGCGTTTTGAGCTCCAGAGTCGTCAAATGGGACTCGAACCGAACGTGTGATCCCGCCAATGGATTGCTCTCCGAACGAGGAATCCATTGGTGGGGTCACACGTTTGGTTCGAGTCCTGTTCAGCGACTCTGGAGCTCAAAACGCGTCTAGTGTTTTGGCCGCCTCCACTGGTCTTCTGGCCCACTGTGCACCGTTCGTCGACGGGCAGTTTTTCGCTTCTCTGTTTGTTCGCTGGTCCCTTCCCGGACAGGTTTGGAGTCCGTCTAGGCCGCGCCCCGCCCGAGGGCACCGCGCTTTTACGATATCGATTTCGAGTGTCGATTGCAGTGGACGCGCTGCCGTCCCGGCCTGGCCGACGGCAACTAGACATTTGGGCGCGGAAGTGGTGGATGTAAGGATTGCTATTAGCGCCGCATCGCCGTCGTCGCCGCGCCGTCCGTCGGTCAGTGGCGGCCGAGTCCGGCGTCACTTTCACATCATTTCCGATCCGCGTTCGCGAGGCCGCCTCTTTGATTGAGGATCCGCTTCCTAAACCGAGGGTCAGGGTTCAAATACCCGCCACAAATATTTTTCCATTTTTTTCCCCGTTTTTGTTTGACTAGCTACGGGGTCATTCCCATACTACGTGGGCGATTTAGGGCCACATTTTGACCCCCTCCCCCCTCATAGTGACCAGGATAACCTAACCTTCCCATGTAATTAAGATAGGGCGAAGCATTTGGCTCGGCTCCCCCTCCCCCAAAATGGTCACGTAGTATGGAAACGGGCCCTACGCGGTTTTTACTCTTGTGGTTGTGTGTTGTTGTCATTGCTGCTGCTGCCACAGGCGCGTAATTACGGGGGGGAGGCGACAAAATCTCGGCTTTTGCGTGGATTGTTTCTTTGTTTTGATGCGTAGACGTTGTTCGTATAATTAGTGAAACTTAAACAGTATGAGTACTTAGTAGTTGAGCAAATATTCACCGTACTGTTTTGATGCAACACTATAAAAATGACAAGTTTGCCCCTAAAGGTATGCAACCCGTAACGCATCCCCCCCCTTTAGTCGGCTCTAATTCCGCCCCTGTGCTGCCATCGTCGTTGTCATCTTTGTTGCTGTGTTTGTAGGCTTGTACTCACGGCGCGGGGCGTGGGCCTCATGGCGAGTTAATCCAGGGGGCTGCTTGCGGTGCTGGGGGCGTCGCTGGACGCACGGGGGCTGCACTGCCTGCACACTGCACACTGGCGCTACACTCGACGGGGAGGACTCTGGACTGCGCCCCTCACCGCCCCGGCCCCGCTTTTATACGGCGGTTTCCATTGTTGCGCCCGGGGGAGCACGGCAAGCACGGCCAGCACGGCCAGGCCCTGCAGCACGCGTCCAGCACGCGTCCACCGCACGGCCGTGCGAGGGGGAGGGGAGGGGGAGGGAGGCGAGTCCGTTTCCGCGGAGGGTGGGGGCGGGGCGCTGCTGTGATGGTATCGGGGATGGAACGCCAAGGGAAGCGGCAACGGCATTCGATCTGGTTTCCGCCGCGGTGCAGGCTGCCTGAGGCTGCAGGCCGCTGGAGGCTCCATGGAGTCTGCCACACTGGAAGTCCTGGAAGCCCTAACGCCCCCGGCAGCCTTGCCGCCGGCCGTTACAGCATCCTCGCCGCCGAGGGGCGCCGCCGCGTCCGTCTGGCCGGCCGGCCGGCCCACAGTGGGCCAGAAGACCGGCGGAGGCGGTCAAAACTCTAGACGCGTTTTGAGCTCCAGAGTCGCTAAACAGGACTCGAACCAAACGTGTGACCTCACCAATGGATTCCTCGTTCGGAGAGCAATCCATTGGTGGGGTAGAACGTTCGGTTCGAGGCCCGTTTAGCGACTCTGGAGCTCAAAACGCGTCTATAGTTTTGGCCGCCTCCACCGGTCTTCTGGCCCACTGTGTGTTGGTCCGCGTACAGTCGTCCGCCACCTGAACCCCGCGGCCCGGCGCCGCCCCGCCGGCCCGTTGATAAACGACCGCCGCGCACGCGCGGGTCGTGGGAACGACTCCATCACGCGCCTGGACCGCTTTTGGCGCGAAAATATTTCAAAGCGAGTCGCTTATGGCACTGGTACCGCGCGCTGAATGGCCGTCATGGTTTATTAACGGGAGAAAGGAGGAAGGAGATGCATTGAATTTCATGCGGGAGTCTGTGCGAGTCTATTACCGCTGCGACAGCATCACCGCCTGCAGATGGAGCGCCGCCCTGTCTCTCTCGCACCGCTACGGCACGCCCCGGTAGAGCGACAGAGACTTCGCTGGCCGCCGCGCGTAATAGGCTGCGGCCGACGCGATCCTGGAATCCTGTAATGGGTTCCTGTCTATTAGGGGGTCCGTATCCTTGTCGGCGTCCGCGCGGCCGGCCAGGCACAGTGGGCCAGAAGACCGGTGGAGGCGGCCAAAACTGTCGACGCGTTTGAGCTCCAGAGTCGCTAAATGGGACTCGAACCAAACGTGTGACCCCACCAATGGATTGCTCTCCGAACGAGGAATCCATTGGTGGGGTCACACGTTCGGTTCGAGTCCCATTTAGCAACTCTGGAGCTCAAAACGCGTCTAGAGATTTGGCCGCCTCCACCGGTCTTCTGGCCCACTGTGCCAGGACGGCCTGGACGGCCAGGACCTCGGCCCGGCCGGCCGTCCCGGCACCGCCCCGACCGGCGCCGGAAACGGCGAATTCTCTCCACCTCCGGACCTCCCCGCCGAGCCTCGTCGCTCTGTCTCTCTCGCACCCGTGCGCGAAGCCCCGTGAGTGCGACAGAGACAGAGCCACCCAGCGGCAGCAGGTGGTCAAGCATCTGGGCCAGTGGGTGAGGAGGTTTGCTGGATTGGAAGGAATATTTTCGGAGTTCGTTGCCCGGCGTGACTGAATCCAGTGAGCGTGTGTGCGTGGAAGGGGCGGGTTGGGTCGTCACCCCTAGCACCAAAATGACGAGAGGAGCGTGCCTCCCTTGGCGTGAATTTCCATCTTCATGGCGGCCATGACGATCGCCACGGCGCGGCCGCGGCGTGCCCGCCGCTATCATGAGGCCCATCATCCGGAAGAGGCGCGGTGCGCGCGGACCGCGGTCGACGGCGTGCTGCTCCGTTCATTGCGATCATCTCGTGTCCGTGCCGCTCGCTGCGTCTGCAGTGTCTGCAGTGTCTGCAGTCCGATGCCCCCTGCCACACACACGAACGCGCGCGCGCACACACACACACACACTCACACACACACACACACACACACACACACACACACACACACAGACACACAGACACACTCACGCACACACACACACACACTCGATCGGAACGCAGTGTGACGTAGTGCAAGCAGGCCTGCAGCTGGTGCAGTGCAGTGCCGAGTGAAACCTCCCCGGCGGGCTTTCGGAAAAGCGCTTCGCCTTGGTGCTCGCCTTGCGTAACACTGGCGGCGAATCCTCCCCCCCCCCTCTCCCCTTCCTCTTCCCCTCGCGGCGCGGAGGGGCACTTGTTGGCCTGCTTCCGGGCGGACGCGGCCGCTTTGCCATTAGTGATCCAAACATTAGCCAACTGCAGCAGGCGTGACCAGGTCGGCGACGTCGGGCCGCAACAACAAGTGCCTGGCGCCGGCGTCGCCGACGCCTCGCTCGGTGGGTCCGTTTGACGCACAGTGGGCCAGAAGACCGGTGGAGGCGGCCAAAACACTAGACGCGTTTTGAGCTCCAGAGTCGCTAAATGGGACTCGAACCGAACGTGTGACCCCAGCAATGGACTCCTCGTTCGAAGAGCAATCCATTGGTGGGGTCACACGTTCGGTTCGAGTCCCATTTAACGATTCCGGAGCTCAAAACGCGTCTAGAGTTTTGGCCGCCTCCACCGGTCTTCTGGCCCACTGTTTGACGGCGCCCTCCCGCCGCCCCCACCTCCTTCCGCCTCCGCGGAGTCGACAAACGCGGTCCCCTCACGGCGCGGTGTGTCGCGCAGGTGGCACGCGGTGTCCACCAGGTGTGCCTCGTCGGCCCGGTCAAGCTGTCGCCGCCGTCGGTTAATTCGGACGCCGTCGCGCCGCGCAGTGGGCCAGAAGACCGGTGGAGGCGGACAAAACCCTAGACGCCATTTGAGCTGTAGAGTCGCTAAATAGGGCTCGAGCCGAACGTGTGACCCACCAATAGATTGGTCTCCGAACGAGGAATCCATTGGTGGGGTCACACGTTCGGTTCTAGTCCCATTTAGCGACTCTACAGCTCAAATGGCGTCTCGAGTTTTGTCCGCCTCCACCGGTCTTCTGGCCCACTGTGCGCCGCCGCGTTGGCCAAATGCGGCAGGGAATGCACAGGCGGACTCCGAACAGTCGCCTCGTCGCGCTGTCTCCGTCGCACTCGCGGGACGACCCGTGCGGATGCGAGAGACGGAGCGACCGAAACGACTCTTCGGAGTCGCTGAGCCTAGCCGGCTCGCTGCGTGCGTCTATCTGCCAGCCGCAAAAGCCGGCATGGTCAGTGCACCACTTTCTCTGCGCGTCCAGCAGAAAACGCCCCCCCCCCTTTCCAAGGACGAGCCGCGCCCTTGCAAGTCGCGGCGAGGATCTCGATGACGCGTCCGCGGCCTTGGGGCGCCCCGCGGGTGGCGCCGTAGGCCTTGCTGTAGGCCTTGCTGTAGGCCTTGCTGTAGGCCTTGCTGTAGGCCTTGCTGTAGGCCTTGCTGTAGGCCTTGCTGTAGGCCTTGCTGTAGGCCTTGCTGTAGGCCTTGCTGTAGGCCTTGCTGTAGGCCTTGCTGTAGGCCTTGCTGTAGGCCTTGCTGTAGGCCGCCGTCTTCCACAAAGACCTACCCGGGTGGCACAAGGAGCAGAGGCGTCGCAGTCGTGGTACACGGTAACGATTTATTTTAAACAGAAAATAATGACACTCTCATAGAAAAATATAAGTCAGACTATTTACACGCACCGACGTAAAGCGTTCTTGCTTTGTACACTGTACACAAGCGGAAGTAACAATGAAAGGCCCCGTCCAGGCCGGAAGTGAAAATGCAGAGTTGAGTTTTGGAAGGCGCACCTCGAGCATGGTGACGGTTACACGGAGTTGAGCGATGTGTCCCCAGACCAAGTCAGCCGGCGACGCCGCGATGGCACTGCCTGGCGCTACCGCCACTTGTCCGCCTTTAGGGTCTCCTTGACCTGCACGCCGCGGAGGACGTGGCCGGTCTCCGTCATGATGCGCGGCCGCTTGCGCAGCCGCTTCCTCACGGCCTTGCTCTCCTTGAGCTCCTCCAGGAGGCGGTTCGTCTCCTGCGCGAGCTCCTCGTCGGCCGACTTGGCGGGGCCGTCCTGCGTGACGACGCCGATGGAGCCGTCGTCGGCGTCCTGGTGGTCCTTGGGCTCGGCGGACGACCTGGCCGTGTCGTCGTCGTCGGTGTCCCGGTGGCGGCGACCCTCGGCCTCAGCGTCGGTGCGGGCGTCGTTGCGGCTGCGGGGACGCTTGCGCCGTCGGCGGTCCCCGAAGCGGGTGCGGCCTCGCTTCCTGGGCACCTCCTCGGCGCCGTCCTCGTCGCGCTCCGACCCGCTTGACTTGTAGTACAGCGCGACGGCCTCCTCCGAGGGGCCCGGGCCCACGGCGTCGGCCTCCGAGTTCTCGGTCTCCGCAGCCGGCGCCGAGGCGCCCAGCGCGCTCAGCGGGCTGACGGTGGTCAGGTGCACCTCGGCGGAGATGTCGGCGGGCCGCTCCACCACCTCGTAGCCCGACGGCCCCACGGCGGACGGGCCGCTGACGGGCTGGTGCAGCGCGTCCTCGGTGCCGTCCAGGTGAGAACCGCGGCCGCGCAGTCGGCCCCCGCGGCCTCGGCCTGACGCGGACCCCCGCACGGAGCTCCACGTCAGCTCGCCGAGCTGCACGTCGACGGTGCTGGGCTTGGAGCCCGGCTTGGAGCCCGGCCCGGACACGGAGTTCTGCGGGCAGAACAAAAGACAGCGATGAGGCGGCCGCCGCGTGACGAAGAGTGCTCGCGTTCCGGCCCAAGGAGGTCGTCCTTCTCTACTCCACTGTCGGGGTGTGGCGGCATGTCACTGTTGGCGTCCGAGCGGCACTCACCTCCCCGATGAACGTCCGCAGGGGCTGGTAGGAGTGGCTGATCCCCAGGACTTGCGTGGGGAGGGTGGTGGCGGGCGAGGGTGGCTGGAACTGCAGGGACTGCCCGTCGCCGTCGGCCTGGCCGTGGCCCCCGGGACCCCCGCGGCCGCCTGTCACGTCAGCGTCCGTGTGCCCTACGTCATGTCCGTCCCCTTGGCCCGCTTGGCCGTGGCCGAGCTCGGCCAGGGCGCTGGACGGCCGGATGGGGATCCACTGTTCACCGTCCGGCTGGTACGTGGGCAGCTGTTGCTGCGCGTTGTGGTGAGCGTGGTTGTAGTCCTAAAAGTTAAAGTAAGTCGGCATGCGTCACTGTGGCGTGGACGGGGCATTCGGGTCGGGGGTGGAGTACTGCGTCAGTCTCTATCTTTGGGCTAGGAAGGGATTCAGCTAGGGCCGTGGTATTATTCGATTTTGATTTTAATATTTTTGTGAACCTGCTGGAAACTTGCCACGTGTCCGACTCCGACGGGGTGGTCCTCTACGCTGGCGCCGGGGTTGCTCGCCTCGGCGGACACCGTGGGGCCCTCGTCCGCGAGCTGGGCCTTGTCCTCCTCGCCGCCGCTCTGGCCGCCCGAGGCCGCCGACGGCCCCGAGGACCCCGACACCACCAGCGCCGCCTTGTCCTTCTTGTGCTCCTCGGAGTAGCCGTCCACGGCCACCTCCTTGGCGGCGTGCTTCAGTGACTCCTTGGTCTTGAGCTTCTCGTCCTTGGCGGTGTAGGACTCGTGCTTGCTGCCGGTCCAAGTGTCCCCATAAAAGTGCTCGGACTCCCGGTTGTCGCCCGTCTCGAGGTTTTTGGACTGCACGCACAGGAGCTCGTTGCTCGAACCGTTGCCCGAGCAGATGAGCGTGGACTTCTCTTCACCCGTGATAATCTGTTTGCCCCCATGACCGTGCCCGTGTCCATGACCATGTCCCCCGTGACCTCCCCCATGACCACCGCCGTGACCACCCCCGTGACCTCCTCCATGACCCCCATGGCAGCCGCCGCCATGCCCATGTCCATGCCCGTGTCCTCCATGACCTCCGCCATGACCATGACCGTGGCCTCCTCCATGACCACCATGGCCTCCTCCATGACCTCCATGTCCTCCCCCGTGACCATGACCGTGTCCTCCTCCGCCATGGCCATGACCATGACCGTGACCCCCACCATGTCCCCCATGGCCGTGACCTCCACCGCCATGACCTCCTCCATGCCCATGGCCATGTCCTCCGTGACCTCCCCCATGGCCCCCATGACCGTGTCCGTGGCCTCCACCCCCATGGCCATGACCTCCTCCATGTCCGTGTCCGTGTCCATGTCCGTGTCCATGTCCGTGTCCATGGCCTCCTCCTCCTCCTCCTCCATGTCCGTGTCCATGCCCATGGCCTCCTCCTCCTCCTCCATGTCCGTGTCCATGCCCATGGCCTCCGCCGCCATGTCCGTGGCCGCCGTGCCCATGTCCGTGGCCTCCCCCGTGACCCTTCCCATGGCCGTGTCCTTTGCCGCCGCCATGGCAGCCGTGTCCGTGGCCGTGGCCCTTGTGGCCCTTGTCGTGTCCGTGTCCATGTCCGTGGTGGCAGCCGTGCCCCTTGCATGCCTTCCCGTGCCGCTTGTGGTGCTTGTGGTACTGCAGCAGCCCGTCCAGGACGCTCTGGTGCCCCGCAGCTACCTGCTCCGGTGACAGCAGCGATCCCGGAACGATGGGCGACACGGGCGGCGGCGCGGCTGCGGCTGCAGGGCCGTCTCCGGGGCCGCTGACGCCGCTGACGGTGATGGCGGCGTCGGGGGCGCCCCGGGGGTCGCCAATGAAGGCGCCGCTGCCACTTGGACCCGAGGCGCCGCCGCCGCTGCCGCCGACCTCGTTGGTGGCGATCTCGCCCTTGGGCACCACGTACACGGTCTTGGTGTGCGTGTGCGTGTTGACGTACTCGGGGACGATGATGCGGAAGTGCACGCTGCCAACACAGAGCGGCGGTACTCGGTAACGCGGTAACACATGAAGGCGGCGCCACACAGTGGGCCAGAAGACCGGTGGAGGCGGACAAAACTCTAGACGCGTTTTGAGCTCCAGAGTCGCTAAATGGGACTCGATTCGAACGTGTGACCCCACCAATGGATTGCTCTCCGAACGAGGAATCCATTGGTGGCGAGGGGGGAACAGCTTCCCACATTCATTGTACAAAATTTGACCACATTCCACATTCAGGTGGCAAAAACGCCTGTAAGTAGGCAACATGTGTGGCAAAAACGCCAGAAATCTTGCACATTCTTGCACATTCACACATTCACACATTCATTGTACACAAAATTTTTCAGTGGGTCACCCCTTGATTGGTGGGGTCTCACGTTCGGTTTGAGTCCCATTTAGCGACTCTGGAGCTCAAAATGCGTCTAGAGTTTTGGCCGCCTCCACCGGTCTTCTGGCCCACCGTGCGCCAGGGGTGGACTTACTGTTCCGTTTCCGCCGTGGAGCCCTTGAAGGTAGTCATGGCCAGCGCTGCGATCAGCCCCGTCACGATCTGCGCACCAAACACGGTCAGCTTCTCACTCTAGTCTCACTCGGGCACTCATCACTCTGGTGGACAGCTTGAGCAGCCTCTCACTCCAGCAGCTGCTAAAACGCCCACACCTCGACGCGGCAACGCGAGAACGTGCACTTCCCTGATTGAACTTCCTTGAGCAACGCACTTCTTTGAATGGGAAACCGGAGAGAAGGGTTACAGCGGTTGCAGCGCGGAGTTGAACGTGAGCCAAGACCAGTCGGCCGCACCGCAACGGACCGCGAGCCTCTTTGTCTTCAGTCGAGGGGGCAAAAACTCGGGATTTGCGTGTATACATGGTTCGGAAAACGCAATGATTTCATGGCTGATTCGCCTTATTTCGCGACGCACCAGGGTGATGTTGAGCGGGATTGTGCGTGATTGTGTTCGGAAAGAAATGATTTCGGACTGATTTTGCCTGGTTTCGTGTGATTCTGCCTGATTTCGGTCGAATTTAGTGATTTTGGTTGATTTCGGATTGCTTGATTTCGCGTGATTCTCAATGATTCGCATGTGATTTCGGGGGCCGTGTACACATGATTGCGCGAGTTTTTGCCCCCTCGTCTTCACTGCACTTCCACGACAAAGACAAACGGACACAACTATTTCGATTGATTGCCAATTAATCAAGTAATCAATCGCACTAAAAGGATAACGACAGTTCAGGCTCTTTCTCGTTAAGTAATAGCAGCAGCAAGTGATTAATCATGTTATTAAGTATCCAATAGGCATTACACCGGTGGCAGGCTGGTCTGCGAGCGTTCCAAACGACTAGGAGAGAATTAATTCGATTTACGACCCTGAGCCGCTTGGCTTATGCTTGGCTGCTCGGTAGCGATATGCAAGGGAGCGTGCGTTTCCGATCCACCACTCGGCCGGCCCGGGGAAGCTCATCCAAACCGCGGCCAGGAAGGGGCTCCACTTTTCCCCTGTCCGCGGACACACGGACGACCCGACGGACGACCCGACGGACGGACGGACGGCCTTTGACCAGGACAAAGTCCAACTTTTTTCCTTCCGTCCTGCAGCAGGCCGCTCCACCGGTCTTCTGGCCCACTGTGCGCTGCCGGCTGGGTGGGCGAGTGCGTCCAGGATCAAGACATTGGCTTCCACGGCCGATTTGAAAGTGAGGGGCGCGGACCCCGGTTCCGGCCGGCCGGGCAGGCTGCTTGCTCGCGTCGCTCGCTGCGAGTCAAACACAATCAACTTGGCGTCGGCCAGGGCGGCCAGGGCGGCCGCGGCATGGCCAGCCCGTGGCACGGCCGTGCGGTTTTCCGCCGCGTCGCTCGCGGCCGGCGGCGCCAGCGGCCAGCGAAAGTGACCCCACGTTGTGTCAAACACCGCGGCCGTAATCTATAACGCGCGCGGCTTTTGTGGCGCTTTTGTCGCTCCGTCTCCCTCGCACCCACGGGGCAGCCCGGAAGGGTGCGAGGGAGACAGAGCGACGAAGCCCTCTGCCTGCCTGGCACTGCCCGAGCCCCCCGGGGGGTCGCCGCCTCGCTGCCGCCAGCCTGTCCAGTTTGATGTGTGAAAACGCCAGGACGCGAGGCGCTGCGGACCGCTGCGGACACTGCGTCCCGGAGTGAATTTTACGCTTCGGCTTCGCTTCGACACACTGTGGCAAAAAGGTACGGAAAATTCTGTTATTTTTTGCCAGGATTCTCCGTAGCCCTCTTATCAATATTCTCCGTGGGCCGTTACAGTGTTCTCCGTAGGGCCGTACACAGTCTTGTCCGTAGGATCGCACGGTCTTCTCCGTAGGACCTGAAAGACTGTATAGTCCTACTGAGAACATTGTAAGGTTCTACAGAGAATACTGTACGGTCCTACGGAGAATAAGCCTAGTTGATAAGGGGGCTATACGGTGAGTTACCACAAGCTGTTTACAGAATTTTCCGTAGCTTTTTGCTACAGTGCAGGCTGCGGCCAACGGGTTTCACAGGAACCACGCTAAAATAATAATAATTTCCCCCGTCTTTTATACGACAATTTTACTAATTCCGACCGATGTCCATTTGCTCCTGAGAGCAACGGTCAGAGTTTTACTCCACATCAAATTTAAATTGAATTTCGACAAGCAACCATTGAAAAATGTTGACAACTTTCTTTTTGAAGATTGGCGTAATTTCCTTTTAAACTTTTCCACAGTTGGTTCAGAATATTAATACGCCATAAGAGCCTCTTTTTTAAAAAAATTGTAACAATACGCCCGCGTTTCCTATAGTGTGTATTGTTCTTTGAATTCAGCCGCATAAATTGGCGAAGGCGATAATCAGCTCACATGCGACCTCGTCCAGTCCTCTGCAATCTGTTTGCGGACAGGCAGTTTGGCTGCCCAGTGTGAAACGGTCAAAATGTCACTCCAAAATCGTAAAATACTGCAAAATGAATCGAATGAAACTGCTGAGTGCACGCTGCCTGTCCACAGACAGCTCCCACTCGCAGTTGGAGGCAAACACATGGTCGAAAAAAATATCACTGTTCACTGTTCACTGCAATATCCATCGTTAATCCGACTGGCGCGTGGGGCCCGCAGCAGCACTTGCACGCACACACACACACACACACACACACACACACTGACAGCCACCACACACACACACACTGACACGCACCGGGTACATGTTGGACTTGGGCCTGGAGGGCTGTCTGCTCCGGGCAGAGTCCGCCCGCTCCGAGGGCATCGCGTACAGTGGACTGGCTGCCGAAGGGAACGCCGATTTATAAGTTTCCAAATAATTGTGCTCGAAGGGCCGGTGGGGGAGGACAGCGGGGGGATTTTTTTTTCGCGTGGAGGGGAGCAGGCCCTGCAGGCCCTTCAGCAGATAGTGGTGGTGGTGGATGGTGTCCTAGTGAAAGGCCCGGGCACATTATCGGTTCGTCACAGAGGCACTTCGGCAAGGCGAACCAAGGCGTCCTACACTTCCCCGCCGACGCGCGCGCCGCCCCGCCAGCCCCGCCCTGACCCGGGACCAACCCCACCCCGACCTCCTGCTCCACGCCTGCCTCGCCCCGCCTCACCGCGCCCCGCCCCACCGCGGTTACAACACGGCCTGGGATTGTTTGCAGTGACGACAAATCCAGTTTTAGGTGTTTCGGCGACTGCCTCGGTCACGGGGGCAATCATCGTTTAAGAGTTCGGCTGACCCTGAAATCTGCGGATTTCAATCGGGATTTTTCATCACGCCCCACTAAAAGGGCGTGGAATGGGAGCGATGGGAGTGAGTTTGAAAACTATCGCCTTGAGAGCGTGGTTTCCACGGCCTAATTTTTCGACTAGTTTATTCTGAACAATTACGTATTTTTCGCAGGATTTCGCTGCCTTGGCATGGGGTCGTCCGGCGGTGATTCCGGACAGTGCTTCCTTCGTCTGTCTCCGTCGCGCTCCTATAGGAGTCAGCGAAATCCTGCGAAAAATACGTAAGTGTTCAGAATAAATTAGTCGAAAAATTAGGGGCCGGAGCACTGTCAGCCAGCGCGTGAGCTGTGGGCTGCACCGTCGGCGCGTACCTCCGCGCGGGGCAAACGGTCCGCTCGCCCCGTCTATCTCCCTCCCTCTTACGGCGCGCGGCGGCGCGTGTCCCAGCGGTGCCCACCGAGTCCAATATGACCTAGGATTGCCTTGCGCGGCCGGGGCGGGGCAGGGCCGGCATGCCGCTCCGTTTGACCGACCCTGCCAATTTGGTGAGTCAACAGCAACAGCCGGAATGGCCACGTCTTGGCAAACTCGCGGCGCGGCCTCCCGGCTTGCCGCCAAATGGCAAAACCGACAGAGCGACGCTCCGGACGGAGACGGAACTGGTGCGTCGTAGTCGGGGCAAGGTGGCACGACCTTTTTTGTCCAACCAAGCCAAATTTTTTGTGAGAGAAAAATTTTATCCGACCTTTTTATGTTTGACCTGGTTTTCTTTCAAACCGTTTTTTTTGTCCGATCTAGGTTTTGTGCCACCTGTGTAGTGACCGCCAGCCTTCAGTGACAGCCTGTGAACGCCGGTGACGGCCTGTAGCCGCCGGTGACGGTCTGTACCGCCGGTGACGGTCTGTAGCCGCCCGGGACGGCCTGTAGCCGCCGGTAACGGCCTGTAGCCGCCGGTGAGGGCTGGTAACCGCCGGTGAGGGCTGGTAACCGCCGGTGAGGGCTGGTAACCGCCGGTGAGGGCTGGTAACCGCCGGTGAGGGCTGGTAACCGCCGGTGACGGCCTGTACGGCTACCGGAAGTTACAGGCAGTCACCGGTGGCAACCAGCGGTTACAGGCCGTCACCGGTGGCTATGGGTCCTAATGAAAAAGTGCGATCTCCAAACGACGCGCAATGAAAGTTCGATCTCCTATGGCCAGGCAAGGCAGCGGTAAGGTGTGAACATCCGAAATTCCGTCATGATGGTTGTGAGGTACGAGGGAGTAAGTGGAACTTTTAAACGCAGCAGAGATGATTTATTCGCTCGCCTGCGTCGAGGCCTGTGCCTACGTCGTCACTGGTCGTCACTCGGGATCGCCCTCGGCCTCGGCCACGGCGACGCCCTCCTCCTCGGAGTGGTCGAAGCTGCTGGCGCAGACGACGCCCTGCACGTGCTGCATCTGCTGGCCGTCCGCCGCCAGCCCCACGTCCTTGATGCCCTTGCACACGCTGCGCGGCGTGGTGGTGGCGCTGCCCGCGGACATCCGCACCGTGTTGCTGGTGTAGGGCGGCGACGCGTGCGCGTTGGACGTGCGCACGGGGCGGTCCGAGTCCGCCGCGGCGTCCTCGTCGTCCTCATAGTCGTCGTCGGCCTCCTTGCTTTCGGCCTGCTGCTGCTGCTGCGCGCGCTCCTTCTCCTTGTGCAGGATCAGGGCCTCCACCAGCTGGTTCACGTCCACCAGGTTTGGGTTCGGCGGCCGCGGGGAGGTTGGCGGTGGCGGTCGGCGCCGTGGCGGTGGTGGTGGCGGCAGTGGGTACTGTGGGTAGGGGTTGTAGGGCGCGTAAGGCGCGTACGGCGCGTAGGGGTAGGCCGGGGGCAGGCGGTACGGGTACTGCGTTGAAGGGTACGGCCGGGGTCGACGCGGCCGCGGGGCTGGCGGCGGCGGCGGGGGAGGTGGTGGTGGCGGCTGTGGTCGAGGCCGCGGACGAGAGCGTGGCCTTGGTCGAGGTCGCTGGTATTGAGCAGCGTACCTGCAAATTATCAGCCGATGAGAGTAAGTCTGCTGCCAGGGGGTGTAACGTCGCGTAAAAGGAGCCTACCTGCTGTTGAGGTAGCGCACGACGTCCTCGTAGGTGGGGTGGTAGTCGCTGGGGTTCTGCAGGGTGGGCTCGTGCGACACGGCGTCCGCCATGAGGCCCTGCAGGTCGTCCTCCACGGGGTCGGGCTCGGGGCCCACCCAGGTGCCGTTGTCCGCCACGTACTTGTTGATGTTGGCCTCCAGGCCCAGGCCGGGGTCGTACACGGGCCGCATCTGGTTCTGCGCGGGCTGCGCGCCCTGGGGCTGAGGGGCGTTCACGTAGCCCGAGTAAGCCTGCAGATTTTAAGAAGGGGCATTTCATGACAGCACGAAAGAAAACATAAAGTTGAGAAACTAACCCTCGGCACTCTACCTGCAGGTGCTCGTCGTTGTGGCTCCAGAGCCCCTTGGTGTACTCGGGGTTCCAGCCGTTGGGGTCGTTGTTGTACTCCTTGCGGGACTCGTCCACCGTCTCGGGCAGGCCGTGGAAGCCGTTGTCGTACTGCGGCACCCGGTTGCCCCAGAAGTCCACGAAGTACGGCTGGCCGGCCGTGTCCTCCTCGTCGCCGTCGTGCGGCCCGTCGAACTCGTCGCGGTGCCCGCCGGCCTCGAAGTCGCTGAGCGGCGCGTCGAACTCCGGGTCGCGGTGGTGCATGGCGTCGTCGTCGTCGTCCACGTCCTTCATGTCCGCGTCCGTGTCCTTGACTAGCTCGGCGAGGTCGTCCTTGAGCGCGGCCCACATGTCCTCGCCGACGCCGGGCACGGGCTTCTTGGGGTAGTTGGAGTTCTTCCAATTCTGCCGGAAGTGCAGCTTGTCCACCTCCTTCTGCAGCTTGACGCGCCCGTTGGCGTTGTTGGACAGCACCTTCTTGGCGTGCTCGAGCACGTCCGCCGGGATGTAGCCCTGCCAGGCTGGCGGCATGGGCGTGGACGACGTCTGCCCGAGTGGCGGCGGTACGTCCTCGACCTCCTCGTCGACGGGCGCAGCGTCTTCCGGAGGCGGTGGCGGTGGTGGCGGCGCGGCGGTGGTGGTGGTGGTGGTAGCGGAGGCCGCGGCGGCGTCCTTGGAGCAGTTGCAGGCCTTAGCGGCCTTGGGCCCGCGGATGAGGGTGATGTTGATGAGCTCGGGGCGCGGGGCTGCCGGGGCCGTCTGCTGCGGGACGGGGGGCGCCGCGGGGGGCGCGGTGGACGCGGGCATGACGGCGCCTAGCAGCAGCGCGGCGCCGGGCCGCGGCCGCGTCCACGCCGAGGGGTAGCGCGGCGCCGGCGGGTACTGCAGGCCCTGGAAGCCCTGGAGGCCCTGGAGGCCCTGCAGGGCGTAGGACGGCCGCGCTGGCACCACCTTGCGGTACGTCAGCGAGGGCTGCGCCGCGGCGCGGGGCGGCACCGAGAACGACGCCGAGGACCCCACTGCGGACATGGAGGACACGAGGGACATGGGCGGCGCCAGCATCGGGGACGGCATCAGGGCCACGGAGTCCAGCAGCGCGGCCGAGGGCTGCCTGACGGCGGCGATGGTGGCCACGGGGCTTGCGACGGCCGAGCTGACGACGGGGGCGTTCGCGTCCCGGGGCACCAGGATGCGCAGCTTGAGGTTGATCCTGCGCAGCGCATTCAGTCACTTTACGGACACACTGCTCCCAAACAAAAGGTAAGCATCCTAGAAACTACCCCGGTGAGGGAGAGTGATTTCCCACCTTGGATTGGATGCAGTGACCTTCAAAAATCCTCACCGCATCGTCCGGTTACGGTAGTATTTTTTACTGGCACAGACAACGACAACACAGTGTGTCCACAGGTGTGCGACTTACTCCTGCTCCTGCAGCGGTCCTGTGCCGAGGCTCGAACCAGACGAGGGCGCGGAGCCGACCTCCGCGGCCAGCACGAGGACGGCGACCAAGGACAGCGCCGAGGGCACAGGGCGCGCGCGCGTCCGCCACCGATGCCGGCAGGACGCCGGGGGTCGCCGTCGAGTGCTGGCTGTGGGTGTGATGGCCGCGAAGTGACTAGACCCTTGTCGTCGAGCGCCCATCCCGCGCGCCCCACTGCAGTCCGTGTCTTTGCCGTCGCAAGTCCTCACTCGGCGCCCTCCACTGCCAGCGGGGCTCACCCAAGGCCATCGCCCTCTCCCCGCTGAGGCCGGCGGGTCACAGGTCCACGACGAGGCACTGCTTTTCGTCCTGCTTGGCGTCGTGCTGGCACTGAGGTAAGCCCGCGCGCGGCGCGCGGCGATACTCCGCGTGCGCCCCGTGCTCTCGCCGCGGTCGGCGATGCCCCTCGTCGACGGGCAGGTGCTGTGTGGCCCGCGCATGCTGCCGCGCTGCGGCGGGGCGGTTCACGCGGCCGCGGGGGCGCGCGTAGCGAGCGGCGACGCGGACGGCGGCGACATCCTGGCGGCGCGGGACGCTCTGACGGACTGGACCTCGCGGATCATAATCGCCGCCGCGTGGGAATCCGAACTTTCTGTCTCGACTGATTCGGCGTGGCGTGGCGTGGCGTGGCCTGGCGTGGCGTGGCCTGGCGTGGCCTGGCGTGGCGTGGCCTGGCCTGGCGTGGCGTGGCGTGGCGTGGCGTGGCCTGGCGTGGCGTGGCCTGGCCTGGCGTGGCGTGGCGTGGCGTGGCGTGGCCTGGCCTGGCGTGGCGTGGCGTGGCCTGGCGTGGCGTGGCCTGGCGTGGCGTGGCGTGGCGTGGCGTGGCGTGGCGTGGCGTGGCGTGGCCTGGCGTGGCGTGGCGTGGCGTGGCGTGGCGTGGCGTGGCGTGGCGTGGCGTGGCCTGGCGTGGCGTGGCGTGGCCTGGCCTGGCGTGGCGTGGCGTGGCGTGGCGTGGCGTGGCGTGGCCTGGCGTGGCGTGGCGTGGCGTGGCGTGGCGTGGCGTGGCGTGGCGTGGCGTGGCCTGGCGTGGCGTGGCGTGGCCTGGCCTGGCGTGGCGTGGCGTGGCGTGGCGTGGCGTGGCGTGGCGTGGCGTGGCGTGGCTGGCCTGGCGTGGCCTGGCGTGGCGTGGCGTGGCGTGGCCTGGCGTGGCGTGGCCTGGCGTGGCGTGGCGTGGCGTGGCGTCTTACCGCATCGCTTGGACCGTTTCCGCTTTGTCTGGCCAGGCATGACCGCGTCGTCCTGCGCCGCGCCACGCCGCGACACCCGCGCGGGCTTCCGACAAGTTAGTGAGCCTCTCGCGGCAGCCAGCGACACCGGACCGATCCTTCTTCTTCTCCTTCTTCTCCTCCAACTTCTCTTCCAGTTCCGCCGAGCGGCGTCGCCGTCGACGGTCCAAGACGAAGAGGGTGTTCTTTGCTCTAGCTACGCTGCCGGCCCCACGCCCTGCTGCTTCGGGAGATTGTTTCTCTCGATGAGAATGAGACACACCCTCCACCATTAGGGTCTGTGTGTGTGCGTGCGTGTGTGTGTCTGTGTGTGCGTGCGTGTGTGTGTGTCTGTGTGTGTGCACTCGGTGTGGCGCCTCGCGGGGGGCGGAGTGACGTCAGAGATGGCCGCGCGGGAGAAACACGGCGTGGAGACACGATAAAGAAGCGCTTAGCCGCCGCCTTGCAGCTCGCTTGCAGCCTGCTGCCCCGCCTAGCCGGGTGTGAGAAAGAACTCTGACCGCCGCCGTCCAGCCGTCCAGCCGTGCGCGGAGGGGGGGGGGGCTGTAAAGCAGAAGGCGGGGGAGGAGGCCGTAGAGGAGCGGCAGGAGCGTCTCGAGGAAAAAGTGGTTTGCGTTTTATTGAGTGGGCATTTGGAGCGCGTTTTGCAGTGCGGTGCCATGGCGGTGCCGTCACGGTGCAGCCGTCGTGCCTCACAGCCGATTGCCGCCGCGGGATTCTGAGCGGAGCGTCGTCGCGCTGTCTCTCTCGCACCCTCGCGGGACGCGCCACGAGTGCGAGAGAGACAGAGCGACGCAAGCCTGGCGGAAGTTATGATGAATAAGGAGGAGGGATCCGACTGGTGAAAGAAATACTTCTCAAAATGGTCCATTTTCCAATTATTTTTTATTCAATAGAGTTATTTACAGGGTGTGAAAAACGGTTCGCGCCTCGACTTCAACTAGAGGCCGAGGTGGAGGCGCACCGAGACCCAGAGCCCCTCCTCGAGGCTATCTTCCTGATCGCCGCGCCCCGAGCCCCGCCGCGCCACCCGTACTTCCTGGGCTATCTTTTCCCTTTGACGGAGCGCAGCGCGGGCTGCACGGGCTGCGCACCACACACGGGACGCCGGGACGCGCTCCTCCGCCGCTCGATGTAGATCGTGTTGCACGTCAAACGACCCCTCGTTATTTGTTGGGCTGATCCCGGATCAGCATCAAGATTACCACGGCCCCACGGGCACCCCTGCGGGGCCCCTGCACCGCGGCACAGGTGGAACAGTACACAGACATACCACCGGAGTCGTTTCAATTATTGCCGTTTCACTTTATTTTCCGGCGGGTGGCGTGCACTGTTAACTGAAGTGCGTTGTACTGAGTACTGGCCACTAAGCAACGCACTTTAGTTTACAGCGTAGACAGCGCCGCTGACACGTTTCCAAAACGCCCAAAACAACGATTGCGCATCGTTTCGAGAAAAGTGCGGAGGTCCTTTTTGGAGAGTCAGAAACGTGTTGCGCTGCCTTCCCTCGGCGCTAAATCCCGCCCGACGCGGTGTTCTACCGGTACACCTGCGCGGTGTGCTCGGTGCGCTGGTAGTTGAGGCCGCTGACGTGGTGGCGCTGCCTTCCCTCGGCGCCAAATCCCGCCCGACGCGGTGTTCTACCGGTACACCTGCGCGGTGTGCTCGGTGCGCTGGTAGTTGAGGCCGCTGACGTGGTGGCGCTGCCTTCCCTCGGCGCTAAATCCCGCCGACGCGGTGTTCTACCGGTACACCTGCGCGGTGTGCTCGGTGCGCTGGTAGTTGAGGCCGCTGACGTGGTGGCGCTGCCTTCCCTCGGCGCCAAATCCCGCCCGACGCGGTGTTCTACCGGTACACCTGCGCGGTGTGCTCGGTGCGCTGGTAGTTGAGGCCGCTGACGTGGTGGCGCTGCCTTCCCTCGGCGCCAAATCCCGCCCGACGCGGTGTTCTACCGGTACACCTGCGCGGTGTGCTCGGTGCGCTGGTAGTTGAGGCCGCTGACGTGGTGGCGCTGCCTTCCCTCGGCGCCAAATCCCGCCCGACGCGGTGTTCTACCGGTACACCTGCGCGGTGTGCTCGGTGCGCTGGTAGTTGAGGCCGCTGACGTGGTGGCGCTGCCTTCCCTCGGCGCCAAATCCCGCCCGACGCGGTGTTCTACCGGTACACCTGCGCGGTGTGCTCGGTGCGCTGGTAGTTGAGGCCGCTGACGTGGTGGCGCTGCCTTCCCTCGGCGCCAAATCCCGCCGACGCGGTGTTCTACCGGTACACCTGCGCGGTGTGCTCGGTGCGCTGGTAGTTGAGGCCGCTGACGTGGTGGCGCTGCCTCCCCTCGGCGCTAAATCCCGCCCGACGCGGTGTTCTACCGGTACACCTGCGCGGTGTGCTCGGTGCGCTGGTAGTTGAGGCCGCTGACGTGGTTGCGCTGCCTTCCCTCGGCGCCAAATCCCGCCCGACGCGGTGTTCTACCGGTACACCTGCGCGGTGTGCTCGGTGCGCTGGTAGTTGAGGCCGCTGACGTGGTGGCGCTGCCTTCCCTCGGCGCCAAATCCCGCCCGACGCGGTGTTCTACCGGTACACCTGCGCGGTGTGCTCGGTGCGCTGGTAGTTGAGGCCGCTGACGTGGTGGCGCTGCCTTCCCTCGGCGCCAAATCCCGCCCGACGCGGTGTTCTACCGGTACACCTGCGCGGTGTGCTCGGTGCGCTGGTAGTTGAGGCCGCTGACGTGGTGGCGCTGCCTTCCCTCGGCGCTAAATCCCGCCGACGCGGTGTTCTACCGGTACACCTGCGCGGTGTGCTCGGTGCGCTGGTAGTTGAGGCCGCTGACGTGGTGGCGCTGCCTTCCCTCGGCGCTAAATCCCGCCGACGCGGTGTTCTACCGGTACACCTGCGCGGTGTGCTCGGTGCGCTGGTAGTTGAGGCCGCTGACGTGGTGGCGCTGCCTTCCCTCGGCGCCAAATCCCGCCGACGCGGTGTTCTACCGGTACACCTGCGCGGTGTGCTCGGTGCGCTGGTAGTTGAGGCCGCTGACGTGGTGGCGCTGCCTTCCCTCGGCGCCAAATCCCGCCCGACGCGGTGTTCTACCGGTACACCTGCGCGGTGTGCTCGGTGCGCTGGTAGTTGAGGCCGCTGACGTGGTGGCGCTGCCTTCCCTCGGCGCTAAATCCCGCCGACGCGGTGTTCTACCGGTACACCTGCGCGGTGTGCTCGGTGCGCTGGTAGTTGAGGCCGCTGACGTGGTGGCGCTGCCTTCCCTCGGCGCCAAATCCCGCCGACGCGGTGTTCTACCGGTACACCTGCGCGGTGTGCTCGGTGCGCTGGTAGTTGAGGCCGCTGACGTGGTGGCGCTGCCTTCCCTCGGCGCCAAATCCCGCCGACGCGGTGTTCTACCGGTACACCTGCGCGGTGTGCTCGGTGCGCTGGTAGTTGAGGCCGCTGACGTGGTGGCGCTGCCTTCCCTCGGCGCTAAATCCCGCCGACGCGGTGTTCTACCGGTACACCTGCGCGGTGTGCTCGGTGCGCTGGTAGTTGAGGCCGCTGACGTGGTGGCGCTGCCTTCCCTCGGCGCCAAATCCCGCCCGACGCGGTGTTCTACCGGTACACCTGCGCGGTGTGCTCGGTGCGCTGGTAGTTGAGGCCGCTGACGTGGTGGCGCTGCCTTCCCTCGGCGCTAAATCCCGCCGACGCGGTGTTCTACCGGTACACCTGCGCGGTGTGCTCGGTGCGCTGGTAGTTGAGGCCGCTGACGTGGTGGCGCTGCCTTCCCTCGGCGCTAAATCCCGCCGACGCGGTGTTCTACCGGTACACCTGCGCGGTGTGCTCGGTGCGCTGGTAGTTGAGGCCGCTGACGTGGTGGCGCTGCCTTCCCTCGGCGCCAAATCCCGCCCGACGCGGTGTTCTACCGGTACACCTGCGCGGTGTGCTCGGTGCGCTGGTAGTTGAGGCCGCTGACGTGGTGGCGCTGCCTTCCCTCGGCGCCAAATCCCGCCCGACGCGGTGTTCTACCGGTACACCTGCGCGGTGTGCTCGGTGCGCTGGTAGTTGAGGCCGCTGACGTGGTGGCGCTGCCTTCCCTCGGCGCCAAATCCCGCCCGACGCGGTGTTCTACCGGTACACCTGCGCGGTGTGCTCGGTGCGCTGGTAGTTGAGGCCGCTGACGTGGTGGCGCTGCCTTCCCTCGGCGCCAAATCCCGCCCGACGCGGTGTTCTACCGGTACACCTGCGCGGTGTGCTCGGTGCGCTGGTAGTTGAGGCCGCTGACGTGGTGGCGCTGCTGCTGCGGCGGCGGCTGCAGGCGGTGCTGCGGGTGTGGCTGCCGCCGCAGCTGGTGCGCCGGGTTCTCCTCGGCGTCGTTCTCAACGCCGCCGTCGTCCACCTCGGACACGCCGCCGCCGCCGCCGCGGCCCAGGTTGACGAGGGTGATGGACGTGAGCCCGCCGGGGGCGGCGTGGTGCGCGACGCGCTGCGCCTCGGAGCCGTGGTCCACGAGCGTGGGGTGGTGGGCCTGCTGGTGCATGGGCTGCAGCACGAAGCGCGCCGGCGCCGCGGGGGCCACGGGGGCCACGGGCACGGCGGGCGCGGCGTGCACCACGGGCAGTGGCCGGTACACTGTGTGCGTGTGCTGGTGCGACCTAATGTGCACCGGGACCTCGATGACCACCCGGCGCCGCGCGCTGCAACCAAAATCACCGTCATTAATGGCCCCAAGTAGTGCCCGGATTCGGCAGAGGTTCGAAATGGCGGTTCCCGGTTTGACTGGCCGACTAAACTGGCGCCGCGCTGTGGCACTCCACGCTGCCCCTGTTCCTGTTCCCGCTGGGTCCAGCTTTCTTGTTTGCCCGCAGCCTGCCGGCTAGGCAACCCAACGGGCACTCTCCCCGCCGCCGGCCGGGCCAGTCGCTGCTTCGCTGCCAGGGATCCTTTCGACGCCCTGTCTCTGTCGCACGTCGCGCTCATTGAGGGCGTCCCGCAGGGGTGCGAGAGAGACAGGGCGACTATCGGGTCACAGCCAGCCAGCCGCCGGTGGCGAGGCAGCCAACCGCAATTTACTCTTCCGATTTTACTCTCCTTGAAAACCCGCCGCCGTTGGGCCACAGTGTGTCCAACGCAATCGGAACAACAACACATTTACTCTGGTGGTGTCCGCCCTGTGCAGACTGTCTCTCCCCGCCGCCATCGAAAGTGCGAACCTCGTGACCGTGTTACTCACAGCGCGGCCTTCGGCGCCAGGAAGACGGTCAGGGCGGCCAGGACGAGCGCGGGTTGCATCCAGGACATTCCCCCCGCGAGCGAGGCGGGCCGGCGGGGCCGCGGTGGCGCCGCGCGGTCCGGCCGACGGAGACGGGGACAGCGCGCTGCGGCTGCTGGGGCGCTTACTCTGCATTCCATGGCTAGAAGCTTCTGATTAGGGCCCTCCCGGTGGCCGTGCTTTTAGGTCCTCGCGCCGTCGGCGGCCCGTCGGGGGCCCACCGCCACACCCCTCCACCCGGACCGCAGCGCGCCACGCCACGCCGGAGCCGTGAACATTGTGGAGCCGTTTCAACATTTGAAATGCATAAAAACGGTCGCACCTGCGTCCATCGGATTGCCTCGGCGGGGCATTCCGCCTCGCTGCGCCGTGCCGCGTCGCCCTGTCCTGCCCGCCCTGCCCGCCCTGCCCTGCCCTGCCCTGCCCTGCCCTGCCCTGCCTGCCCTGCCCTGCCCTGCCTGCCCTGCCCTGCCCTGCCCTGCCCTGCCCTGCCTGCCCTGCCCTGCCCTGCCCTGCCCTGCCTGCCCTGCCCTGCCCTGCCCTGCCCTGCCCGCCCTGCCCTGCCCGCCCTGCCCTGCCCTGCCCTGCCCTGTCCTGCCCTGCCCTGCCCTGCCCTGGGTCGCGGCAGTCACGGCACTCGACGGGCAGTGTCAAAACTGCGGTCAATTTTCGGAGGGTAAGTCTCAAAGTTCTCTGGGGGCAATTTCTTTTGTCACAGTAATTTAAGTAAGTTTGTGCAGGCCTCATTTTAGTTTCTTTGGTTCTGTTGAAGGCTCTAAATCATAAATCATGACGAGCTCACATCAGTGTCTGTTTTAAAATTCCTGCTCTCAGTCCAGTTCAGTCGTCCTCTTTCCAAAACTACTATTTTTGTTCGTAATGCCTTCGTGCTGTTAACTGGTCCGGGCGCACGGTGACTGGGGCGTTTCGTCTCCGACCTTGCCCTTTTTACCTTTTTTGTCCCTTTTGCGGCGGTCATAGACCCAGACGGCGCCCCGCGGCACCGACTGATCAGTTCGACTCGGAGGAGAGGGGGGTGGGGGGGTTTAATGAGCTGTCGTTTTTCTGTATTATTGTTTTTTATTCAACATGAAATTTTTAACAGATTAACAGGATATATGTACAAAATATTCTGTTTTACGTTTTTATTTTTCAAACTTAACAACAACGACAAGCAATAACCAAAAACGAACTTTTGCAAACAGTAGATTGCAGAATGAAACACAACAACAATAAGTCCTCCAGGTTTTGATGTCATGCACTCAGTCTCGGACTAGACTCAGAACTAAAAGGTAAATAAATAACCGTAAATAGTTTTTACAAGACAGGTCACTTTGACGCAATAAGAGCGAGTGTTTAGTTTATACATGCATAAATATCGAAACAAGCACTGTCGAGAGAGACGAGAAGGGGTGACGCGTCGCATGAAAAACAAAAAAAAATGTATGTACAATGTTACAGCGGTGGCGCGTCGTCAAAACAATAATTTACCTCAAATAAATAGTAATCAGAGACCGTAATGAAATTGTTCCGCGACGGCAAGCAGTGCGTGGCCGCCGTGAAGTGGGGCCGAAAAATGCCCAGCCGTCCTCCAGGGTCGCCAACGGGAGGGGGAGACTCTAGGCGAACGAGGCTTGAAGGCGCTGCAGCCGCCAGCAGTCGCCAGCAGTTGGCCACTCTGAGGAAACATCTCTGGGGCGGCGGCGGCCCCGAGGGCGGCTTGGCGGCGGCGACACAGAGTCATCCGAGTGCAGAGTCGCCTCCCCCGGACGGCGCGGTCGTCGGCGTGCTGCCTCAGCCCCAGTACTGCGGCTTCCTGGTGCGGAAGAAGTTGGAGTCGGCCGTCCGCACGTCGCTGACGGCCTGCTCGTCGTGCGCCGGCCGGTGGTTGCCGCCCTGGTGGCCGCCCTGGTGGCCGCCCTGGCCGGCGCTGGTGTGCCTGGTGGCCGTCTCCGAGGCGGCGCCGGACAGCTCGTAGTTGAAGTTGGCCGCCGACAGGGTGCGGTCGTCCTGCTGCTCGCCGCGGAACTTGGCGTGGTACATGCTCTGATGGCGCTTGCTGTCGCCGGGCTGCTTGGGCTTCTTGCGCGCCTTGCCGCTGTACGACGGCCGCCGGTACTCGCTCTCCCTGCTCGAGTCGTCCGCGTCGTGCAGCGTGCCGTCGTGCAGCGAGTACCTGCGGCAGAGGCGACCGGTTCAGGGGTGCACTGCACTGTCGAACAAAATGATGACGTGAGGGAGCACTTACCTCGTCTTGCTGGGCCGCCGGTACGACGTCTGCCGCGTGGAGTGTGACGAGGCGGCGAGGCCGCCGTCGAAGTCGTCCGAGTTCTCGGCCAGCTCGATCTCCTCGTCCTCGTAGAGGCCGGGGGCGAGGCCGGGTCCCGGCTTGTTGTGCCGCTTGCTCTGCGTGGAGGCGGGCGCGCTCTCGGAGCTGTCCCCCGGGTAGCCGTGGCGGTAGAACTGATTGTGCTGGTTGATGAAGCGCTCCTCCAGGTCAAGGTGGCCGGTGCCCGGCTCCTCCTCGTCGGTGCCGTAGGGCGGGTACTGCGGCGCGGGCACCCGGTAGCCGCCGTCCGGGCCCCAGCCCTTGGGGTAGCCCGTCTCCTGCTGCTGCAGCTTGCTGGTCGACTTGGTCTTCTTCCGGGGCCGGTCCTCCTCGGGCTCGGGCTCGTCGTCCAGCCGCAGGTCGTCGTCCTCGGCGTAGCCGTCCGCGTAGGTGGGCAGCTGCGGCCGCGACTTCTTGGCGGTCTTGGACTTCTTGGACTTCTTGGAGCCGCGGTACCGCACCCTGGTGGCGGCGGGGCTGCTGCCGCGGGTCGCCTGCTGCAAAATTAGAAATTCATGATTAGAAATTTTGGTAAATCTTGTTGTTGGTGATGGTGATGCCGTTGCCTTACCTGTGCCCACGGCTTGTCGCGCGGCCCGCCGTGGCCCCTGCGCTTGGGGGGGCCCTTCCAGCGTGGCCGCGGCGGTCCCCGGGGCGGGCCGCGGTAGTACGGCGGCGGCCTCTTAGAGCCGCGCCGCCGTCGGCTCTCGTGCGCCTGCACCAGGTTGAGCGCCGTCCGCGGGTCCAGGATGTGCACGCGGCGGCGCGGGAACACGAGTGGCTGCAGCTGGCGGGGCAGCGCGGCCGGGACCACGCCGCGGTGCACCACGTGGACGTGGTCCGCCATGCTGCGGCAGGACAGAAAGGAATGACTACGCCGCCAAAGCCAAAGACGCGTTTCGAGCTCCAGAGTCGCTAAATAGGGCTCGAACCGAACGTGTGACCCCACCAATGGATTGCTCTCCGAACGAGGAATCCATTGGTGGGGTCACACGCTCGATTCGAGTCCCGTTCAGCGACGCTGGAGCTCAAAACGCGTCTGTTGTTTTGACCGCCTCCACTGTGCGCTGCTCGTACCCTGTGATGCAGGGCGACGCTGCCCGGAAGTGACCGGAAGTGCCGCGACAGCTTTCGCCGCCAGTCTGAGTGACGACCGCGCGGTACGTGTCGGTAACGGCCACGACGTGGAGCGGCAGGCCGTCGCTCCTTCTCTCTCGCACCCTCGCGGGACGCCTCGTGAGAGCGAGCGAGACAGAGCGACGCGACAGGAGCTGCAGGCAGGGCGCCTTTGTCTATGGCCGCCTTAACGGCCTTGACTGCCAGCAGCACCGCTTTGCGCCGCGAGATGACGGTGCTGTAGGTTTTCCTCCCTTTTTCCGCCATTTCCCACCATTTTCCCGCCTCTTTGCTCTTTATTCGGTTCGTCCTGCTCTTTCGTTCCGTGCCGATCCGCGCAATGGGCCGCTGCCGACGGCCGCCTAGGCCTGCAGAGCGGGCCGTTCCGAACGGCGTCTCGGCGCGCCACCGTCTCTCTCGCACCCCTTGGCGGCGCCCCGCGAGCGCGAGAGAGACAGAGCGACGATGTCCGGAGCCAGGTGACGCGTGGCGCAAGCGCGCAAGCGGCCCGAGCCCCGAAAAGGGGAACATCGGCGTTATGCCTGCCAGGCCCGGCAAGCCTCGTGACGAATGCCACCTCCTCAACGAGGCGGGCGGGCCGCCTTTAGGCGCAGCCTTTAGGCCCCTCAGGGCTGTCTGCTGCTTTGTCACACGCTCCGGTTTTTCTTTGTTTTCGTGTCGCCGCGTCTCGCTACTTTCAGCACAGTTTTAAAGACAAATCAAAAGAAAATGTACATCAAACAAAGAAAATGCTGACTTTCAGTAAGGTTAACTTAATCTATCCGGATGGTTCCGACCGGAACTACAGCGGAATGAACCGCCAAGTTGCCACCATTTTGTGACTCAATATCGTGCAACCCCGACGAAGGTGCATTCGTCCTCGTCGCGCGGCAAGCCCGTCACGTCGTGACGGAGGCGCGGTCACGTCGCGTCGAGCCGAGCCGAGCCCTTGTTGCATGTGCAGCCTCGAAATCTGATGCAGCACACGGCCGATTCCCCGTGTAGGGACGCCAGGGATGCACGGCACAGTGAAAGTGCAGAGCGCGCAAGCCGCGCCGGCGCATCCTTCAAAACACCGCACAGTGGGCCAGAAGACCGTGGAGGCGGCCAAAACTCAGGACGCGTTTTGAGCTCCAGAGTCGCTGTCTCGAACCGAACGTGTGACCCCACCAATGGATTCCTCGTTCGGAGCGCAATCCATTGGTGGGGTCACACGTTCGGTACGGAGTCCCATTTAGCGACTCTGGAGCTCAAAACGCGTCTAGAGTTTTGGCCGCCTCCACCGGTCTTCTAGCCCACTGTGCACCGCCGTCCCTATCTCCCTGATTGCGCCTTGTTGCTGCTTAGGTTTGATTCATCTTCGCCGCGGATTGGCGATGCTTACGGTAGTGCCAGCGCTCCGGGCCCAGGTCCGCCGCCTGGCCAGCCGGTCAGCGCCACGCCCAGCACGGCCAGCCCCAGCACCTGGCCCAGCACGCCCCCCTGCAACACACAAACAAAAGGGTCAACAAACCGCACTGACAAACGCCCAGACCCAGGGCGTCATCGAACCGTCGCTACCCCTCGCGCGAGAGAGTCTCTCTGCCACCGCCATCAGGAGCCCCTCGCGCGAGGGGTAGCGACGGGTCGAGTCAGTTCACTTCGCTGTCCCCGATAGTGCCAATCAGTGAATCAGCGGGTGAAGCCACTCAGACACCAGCGTGCTAGAAAGAGACGCAGAGACCGACGAGGCCCTCTGATGCCCGATGGTAAACAACATTGCTCACCAACTCTGCGCGGGGTATCGACGGCTCATTTCACTCTCATCGAAGGCAAGGTAAGTACCAGACAACAATGGGCAACTGCAGTGCGTCTACAGTACTTTTGCAACGTCAAACACACGACGCGGAAACAAGCAGCACCAACAAAAAGCAGCAACAACAACATCAACAAGAAGCCGCCAATGAGCAGCCCCGTATTTGACCAGCGCCTCCGTAACACGAGGACGGCACGTCGCTCCGAGTAGGGCTCTCGTCGCTCCGTCTCTCTCGCACCCCATGAGGACGCCGCCCACGAGTGCGAGAGAGACGGAGCGGTCATGCAACGCGGTGGCGTGCGGCGGCACCCTCCATTGACAGGCATCGCCAAGCAGCTAACGACCATCGCGTTGTGAGCTAACACTTATTATCTCCCGCGAGCTCCTCCCTCTCTCTCAGACTCCATCATCCCCTGGGCGAAGAGATACGGTGCTTTCTCTCCTCTCGCTGCAAAAGGCGGTGCCATGGCGGTGCCGTGGCGGTGCAGTCCATCCGCCGGACTGCCCGGACGGACGACGTCCAGTCCGTCTCGCAGGCCCACGCCGCGGCCGCCAGCCCCGCCAGCACCGCCTCCTCGCCGCGCGGTCGGTTGGCACGCCTGGTACGGTGTAGCCGCCTGATGTACGTTTTTCGTGACGGCGAGGTGGTAGGCTTGTTGCGTTGAGTGCGGCCGGGCGCAGCGTGACAAGAAGGCTATGAGAAATTGCGCAACTGGGAAGAGTCCAGTGTTTCTTGACCCTCCCGCCCTTCATCTTCCTGCAGGCAGGCTTGTTTCCGAAGCGCAGCACTGGCCCGGCAGCGCTATTGCAAAGCGTTCTTGTCTCTGCCCCGCAGACACTTTTAGGCTTCTGCGGATTCTCGTTTTCTTTGCCGTTGTCTCTGGGAATTAATCATTCTTTTTCCTGTCGAAAAAGGAAAGGTAGTACCTCTGGTTCCCACGAGCGGCCAGACAGCGGTGGTGCAACAACTCTGAAATAATTAATGTTGGCGACTACCAGGAAAAGCTGTGACAATTTTTTTCATCGCTCCTCCCTGTGCTGCAGTGGGGAGTGGGTTTTTGAATTCAAGTGGAAAGTGGTGTTCACAATAATCAGCTGCTTGGCCGAAATCCCTCATCTCTTATTGAATCTCACAACAGTCCCTTTCTCCTCCAAAAAAAAATAATTAAAAAGAATACTTTTCCGGCCGGTCGCCCTTTACGATGAGCTGCTACAAGCCCCGGTATGCAAATGAGGAATCTGGACACGGAGTAGCAGCGCTGGACCAATCTGGATTAACTCCCACACCCGTCAGGCCGGTGCCGACAAACCCATAAACATAAAGAGACACCGAAAAGGAAATTCTTCCCGCGCGCGCGCTGATGGCGCTGGGGTCGGTAGTTCCAGTTTTCACCGCGCCAGTGATCGACAGTGATCGACTTGCGATCAATCGAATCCCAAGCCTCGTAACGAGTAGCTCGGCATGCGCGTTGCGTGCCGCCGCCAAATCGCGGACGGGTTGCATGCCTGCCTCTGTCTCTCTCGCACTCACGGCGCGTTGGGCAGTGTGCGAGAGAGACGGCGCGATTGGCGGGAAAGGGCGCTCGCGTGCCGAGCACGCGCCGCGTGCGTGAGATTGTGGTCGCTGCCTTGAGTTGTTGTTGTTGTTGTTGTTTTTCATTGAGTAACGGCGAATTAGCTGGTGTCGCGCCGCTAGTGAATGAAACGAATGAATGAAGACTTCTTGGCGCCGTCGGGATAGGTTAGGGTTGGCCGGCATGGTCAGTGCATCAGACAGGAAGGAAATGAAAGCGGCATGGGCTGCGGTACACGAACACACACACACACACGCCGACGCGCACACTACAAATCTACAACACAAACCGACGACCACGTCATGTATGACGCGGTGCCGTCATAACAAAACAAGAGCGGCCGCCGGACTGTGCGCGCGCGCGCGCCGGAGGTGAACGGTACCTCACGCAGGCTGGCCACCCCACTCGCAACGGGGCGCACGATGACCACGATACCGTGCTTTACATCGCCAAGACGCGATGAAAGCGGACACACTGTAGTGTCGCCCTTCGGCCGGCCCGCCACCTTTCCCTCACTGAAGACACGGCGGCGTCGCCGTGCCCCCGCGGCAGGGCTGCCCCGTTTTACAGCAAAACGCCGTTGTCGATGTTTCTGTCTTTTTCTGGTAGATTAAAACTAGATTGCATTGAATCACCTCGCAACAGGGATCGTGAACAGGACGCCCAGCTGGCGAGAGGCGATCGATCGATATCGATACTCGCCGCCCCCCCCCCTTTCCCCCCTCTCTGCTCGCGGCACCTGCGAGGCAGCTGCATCCCATCTCTGCAGTGAATCGTTTGCGTGGCTGGTGCATAAATAGCGCACAGGTGCAGCGTGCCTGCATCGCTCTGTCTCTCTCGCACCCCCACGGGTCCTCACGGGCCGCCCCTGGAGTGCGAGAGAGACAGTCCTCCGCGAATGAGCGGCGCCGGGAGGGTCGCGGTCGCGATCGGAAAGCGACCTCACGTCGGAACAATAACAGACTGGCCGGGCGAATCCGAACAATGCCGTCGCTCCGTCTCTCTCACACTAAATGTTTATGTAGAATTTTGTACGTGCCACTTGCACGATTTTGTGCATGCGGGGAATTTGCATAATATTGTGCGTGAAAATGCATGTATTTATGCAAATTCACGCACAATTTTATGCACGACGGCACACAAGTTTAAAATTATGCATCACCACGTACAAAATTGTACATAAACATTTAGTGTGCTCGCACTCGCGGGGCGTGTCGGAAGGGTGCGAGAGGGACGGAGCGACGGGGGCGCCTAGCGGGCTGCTGCAGCAGCGGGTGCATAAAGAGAAACCCGACCTAAAGCACGTCCCTCCCTGGGCCTCGGCCTCAGCCTCGGCTCGCTGCGAGGCCTTCCCTTCCAGTGTACTCCTTGACCTGCACTGCACCAGCAGGGCGGTGCCTCCGCACAGTGGATCGGACGCTTTGGGTCTTTGCCGGAGAATGGAGGAGTGTCTTCCGAGACCCTTGGACCTCCTGGAGAAGACCGGGTACCTCCTGTCCCCAGGCTCGGACTGGCCCCCAAAAGGCCCCGGCAGATAACACCGCAAAAGGCCCCCGATCATCATTGTTTTTACCCTTCATGACCAACTTTGTGAGGCTACCGCTCCCAAACTAGTTGCGGTCAATAGGCTTCCCGTACAGGACATGAAATAGTAGGGTCTTAAGAATTCTAGGGCGTCGAGGGAGGCCTTTTACGGCAACTAGATTGGACACAGTGGCCGCTCAAAGTCAGCAAAATCAGCAAATTTCCGAGATTCGACTAATTTTGACCAGCTTGGTCGGAAAATCGTTGCGGTCAAAGGCAAAATCGTTGTGGTCAACGTCTTCCCTATACAGGGCATGAAAGAGTAGGGTCTTGAGAATACTAGGACGTCGAGGGAGGCCTTTTACGGCAACTAGATTGGACACAGTGGCCGTCCAAAGTCAGCAAAATCAGCAAATTTCCGAGATTCGACCACTTTTTGACCAACTTTGGTCCCAAAATCGTTGCGGTCAAAGGCAAAATCGTTGTGGTCAACGTCTTCCCGACACAGGGCATGAAAGAGTAGGGTCTTGAGAATACTAGGACGTCGAGGGAGGCCTTTTACGGCAACTAGATTGGACACAGTGGCCGCCCAAAGTCAGCAAAATCAGCAAATTTCCGAGATTCGACCACTTTTTGACCAACTTTGGTCCCAAAATCGTTGCGGTCAAAGGCAAAATCGTTGTGGTCAACGTCTTCCCGACACAGGGCATGAAAGAGTAGGGTCTTAAGAATACTAGGACGTCGAGGGAGGCCTTTTACGGCAACTAGATTGGACACAGTGGCCGCTCAAATTCAGCAAAAACGGCTACTTTCGGAGATTTAATCACTTTTTGACACTTTGTGACGTTACTGGTCACAAAGCCGAAGGCCCCGGCAGATTTTTCTGCCTGTCTGCCCTGGCCAGTCCGAGCCTGCCTGTCCCTCTACCCACCCACTGTCATTGACCTCAACGGTCAGTTCCACCTGTTTTGGCTCCGAACAGTGCTTGTCACTCTGTCTCTCTCGCACCTCCAGCGGTGCTCGCCTGGGGTCCTCTGGGAGGGGCAGCGCGCGCGTTCAAGACACATGACAATGCCGCCCGCTTACCATCGGACGGCTCCACACCCACGAAGTCGCCGTGTTAGCCCACCCTCTCCGTATTTTTCGCGGTGTTTGCCCCCGCGGTCCTTGTCCTTTTCACTTCCCGGGCCGGAGCCGTTGCTGGAGCCTGCTAGAGTGGCCGGAGTCCTCTGCCGGACCGTGCCGCCGTACATGGCGGCGCTTCGTCCGGAGGTGGCCGCGCGGACTCCGGGAGCTCATTTCGCAGTCTCACTTCCTTCCGGAGAGCACCGCGGCTTGTCCAGCGCGCCGCCAGCGCCGCCAGCGCAGTGCGACGAACCCTCTGGACGGGGCCTGCAAAGCTGCGAGTGTGTCCAGTCCAGCCAATCAGGCGGGGGCTGCGTCGTGAGTTACTGTACTTGGAGTGTACACCACTGCGTACGCACCGCTCACTCTCCGTCCAGGAGAGGCGCGTCTTGGACGGCGCGGACACTGCAGATGCATCCGGCCTGGCGACGCAAACACACACATGCACACACACACACACACAC